CAGGGACAGGAAGCAAAAATTTTTGGAGTGGGTCACTAGGTGTAATAGTGAGTGGTACCACTCCCATTTCTTCCCCTTGGTTCCTGGACCCATGAATCCCAACTATTGGAGAAACAGAACCATATATTTGACGCTGGTTTAGAGCATATCCAGCCTCCTGGAGAACATTGCCCCAAGCCTTTAAGGTATTGCCACCTACCTGGCACTATAATTGTGTTTTTAGTACACCATGCCATCATTCTATCAAGCCAGCTACTTCAGGATGATGGGGAACATGGTAAGATCAGTGAATTCCATGACCATAGATAGGCCCATTGCTGTACTTCATTTGCTGTGAAGTGAGTCCCTTGATCTGAAGCAATGCTGTGTGGGATACCACGATGGTGGATAAGGCATCCTGCAAGTCCACGGATGGTAGTTTTGGCAGAAGCATTGCGTGCAGGGAAAGCGAATCCATATCCAGAGTAAGTATCTATTCCAATAAGAACAAAACACTGTCCTTTTCATGATGAAAGTAGTCCAATGTAAGCAATTTGCCACCAGGCTGCTGGTCGATCACCCCAAGGAATGGTTCCATATCGTGGACTCAGTGTTAGTCTCTGCTGCTGGCATAATGGGCACTCAGCAGTATGGTAGCCAAATTAGCAGTGGAAAGTGGAAGTCCATGTTGCTGAACCCATGCATAACCTCCATCTCTGCCACCATGGCCACTTTGTTCATTAGCCCATTGAGCAATGACAGGAATAGCTGGGGAAAAAGGATGACTGGTTTCTACTGAACATGTCATCCTATCCACTTGATTGTTAAAGTCCTCTGCTGTGGTCACTTTTGGTGGGCATTCACATGAGACACAAATATCTTTACTCCTTTGGCCCATTCAGAGAGATCTATCCATGTATCTCTTCACCATACATCCTTGTCACCAATTTTCCAGTCATGCTCCTTCCAAGTCCCAGACCATCCAGCCAAGTCATTGGCCAAAGCCCATGAATCCGTATACAATCGTACATGTTAGCAAAATCAAATAGGTCTTTTTGAGTGGAACAAACCACCTCCTCAGCCACACTTTGTATTTCACCTTTTGGGGCTCACTTGGACTTAAGTTTAGTTACAGGTCTAACAGCAACAATGGGTGGTTAGGGCAGTTCCTGAGAACATTCAGCAATGTCTTCCATGGCATCCACCTCAGGCAATGACCCAGCAGGAACAGCTGGGTTAATCCCATCAAACAGAGGTGGAGAGGATAATGGTTTTATAGTAATCCCTTCAGATGGGAGGGATTCAACAGAATTTACAGGCTTCATATCCTCATCTTCCTGACTATCTGCCCATATGTCCCCATTCCATGTTTCAGGATCCCATTTTTCCCCAATCAATGCCCTCACTTTAACTTCAGACACCATTCTGGGCTGGCAATTCAATTGGTGTTCTAATTCAGCCACCCTTACAATAAGACTCTGGGTTTGGTTTTTGACAATATCAGCTCTGTTACTAGAAGAAATAAGGCTTTCTTTCAGAGCACAACTGGAAACATTGAGGTCTTTTATGCAGTGCTTGAGCTGTGACTCAGCAGCCCTGAACTCATCTCGCTCCAACCAACCAGCTTCCTAATACTCCTCATGCTGACAAAATTGCAGACAAGTATAAAAATGTGATCACCCAGAGCCTCAGTTCTCAAAAATACTTGATCTATTGGTGGTGCTATTTTGCATATTAATGTTGCCTCCTCACACCATGGATTAGCAGGACCCTCTTTACTAATGAAGGCAGAGTCACCAGTGCCTTTAAGATTAATCAAATCAGAGAACCAAAACAGAATCAGTGAGAACCAATTTAGGAAGCCCATCTTTCTGATTTTGTCTCTCTACACCCCACTCTTGGTACCAAATGTGTTAGGCTGGGTTCTCTAGAGAAGCAAAACCAGTAAAGTTTATATATAGAGAGAGAGAGAGAGAAGAGAGAGAGAAATTTATCTTAGGAAAATGGCTCACACACTTATAGAAGCCGGCAAGTCCCAAGTTCTTGGATCAAATGTCAAGATGGAGGCTTTTCCTGACTCATGCAACTGCAGGGACTGATGAGCTCAAGGTTGGCAGGCAGTATACCAGCTGTTGACTTCAACAAATGACAAATCCAAGATCACCAGGCCAAATGGTGGATTGTTAACTCACAGACAGTTGTAGGCAGCACAACAGGATCCCAATCCACAGACGAGTGTCTCATTTTCCCAGGATGTTTATAAATATATTAGAAGCAGGCCACACCCCCAGGGAAACTCCCTTTTAACAGACTGGCTGCTCAAAACATATACATCCGATCCCATCATGGGAATAACCCGCATCACAACTGCTTAAACCCCACAGAATTATGGTCCAGCGAAGTTGATGCACAACTCCAACTATCACAACGTGGCCCTCACTATGTACTACAACCACTGCACATCTCACCACTTACTGACATGTAGTCTCTGTAGTCATGACCTCTGCTTTGAATATTGTTTTCCCTCCCTCATTCCTTATCCTTTCCCTTTCTAGAGCTAGCAAATCCTTCCCCACCCTTCAGTGGATTTCAAAGTGTCACCAATTTATGAAGTCTTCACTATACCTGAAATCATAGTCAATCCCTCTCATAATATTTTATTCTTTTCTCTATGGTGTTGTTGTTGTTGTTATGTACCATCAAATCATCTCCAACTCATAGCAACCCCTCCTTGGGTTTCCGAGGCAGGATCACTACGGAAGGAGATTGCCCAACCTTCCTTCCCAAGAGTGGCTGGTGGGTTTGAACTGCCGCCTTCTGGTTAGCAGTTAAATGCCTTAGGGACTACACTACCAGAGCTCCTATTTCTCTATGATAGTATTAATAATATATATATATTTAATTTACATGTCTACTTCCTCCATTAAATTGTGATCTCCTTAAAGTCAGAAGGGCCTGCCTTGTTTTTACATATACTGCCCTCAGAGTTCATAATTTAGGAACATGGATAATTAACAAAATATTGCAATAAATGCTATAACAGGGTCATAAGTAAAAGTTCCCTTGGAAATTCATACAAGTAGCACTTAATTTAGTCTGGGGGGATCAAGAAAAGCTCCCATGGGAAATGGCATCAGCCAGGTGAAATGACATGAGAGGTTGTCAAGGACAATAGGGTGAATAAATACAAAGGTCAAAGAGAGAGTACACCACACTGAAGTGCATCCAAGTAGTTCAGTATTGTCAGAAAACAAAGCAGAAGGGAAGGGCTGGAGAGAAATTAGTGTCTTTGACATATGAGAAATACGGAGTCAATCTTAAAGTCTATGAACAGTTAGTACAGGGTTTTCAAGCACAGACATGACGTAAAATTTGTTCTCTAGAAAAATTAGTTATAGTCTGAAAAAAGGTAAATGGTGATTTTATACTGTGTTAACTTCACTAAGGGGAACTATATGCAATCCCAGTCTTAGTTGGTTCCATGTTAGAGTTAGCTGAAAGAGAAACTCATGACAGAGTGGAAGGCAGAATGGTGCAGCAAACATTCTGCTGAGGGTCACAGTGGCTACAGGCAGCGCCAGATGCAAAGGCACCAGTGGGTTCCTGCAGAGCCTCACTCTCTCCCATTCAACAAACAGCTTAGTTGTTGTTGAGAAGAACCAGTCTTCTCAACTGCCTGATGCACAGACCCATATCCATAGACTACCCAGCTCTCTTGCACAGACCACTCCAGTTTCCCAGATTCTGATTCAATCTGTCTACCCACACCAGGGTTTCAGAAGGCTGCATATTGACTTCTCTGATCCTCCAAATTCTTCTCTCAGACTCTTATTTCTCCATATTCTTCTATAACTAAATTCTATTCTTATAATAAAGCCCTTATTCCAATAACACATTATGGTTCTGCTTCTCTGATTGAACCCTTCTCTAACACACTGGGTGAAAGTAGAGGAGAAAATGGAAACAGAAAGGCTATTTATATCCCTAGATCCTAACGTGACATCTGGCACAAAACAGATACTCAGAAATTATTGAATGGATAAGATGGATGGATGGATGACAAACCAGTTAGCATCACAAGATAGGGATCCATTTCGATATAATTCTTCGAAAAATAAAAATGAAAAACCCAGAACCTTTTATACTTTACACATTAGAGTTCTCTACAGAGTTCTACACAGACCTATTACATGTATACATTAAAAGCCATTGAGATTATATCACACATACCCCAAAACTTAAGTTTTAAAAATTATTTTCTATTTATCTTAATGTCTTCACACTCTACACAAATCCATTTAAAATTAGTTTTACCCTCCTGAATCCATTATACCTCTTTTTTGGTTTCCACAACAGTGTGAACTACAATCCTATTCCATAGACTGTCTCTCCATGACGTCTTTGTAGATCTCCCATATTTCATTGTTTTCACATTTATTTGTTTTTCTCTTTTATCTGAGTCTCTTGAAGGTTTTTCCTTTGCTTCTTCTAAGTTTTGGGCAGGTTACTGATTTTATTATTATTAATTTTAATCCTTGAAGTCATTTGCATTCACCAAAGCACTCTAAGCACTCTGAGTGTTTTACAGATCTCCCACCTCTGTTAAATGAAAGCTCTGCTACCTTCAGGGCTCAATTGCCAGGGTCATATACTTAATAAATGCTCAATAAAAATCTGCTGATTTGAGTGGTAAGTAAATACATTGTTCTTTTAGGAATTCCTTAAAACTAATTCAGTTGTACTGATTATATATGTAGATTCTTCAGAAGACAGTATGTTAATATTAATTTGATTTGGGGATTTGAATTAGTTATTTTTGGAAACTTTTCCCCCCCTTTATTTACCCTAATAACTAAGTTAAAACATGAGCACAAGGCTTTTACACATCTCAAGTCCAGTTCTTTGTAACCAGAAGAACACCTCTTGAAATGAAAAAGTATTTAACCTTAATTTGATATAATTTTTATGGCCATGAGAAAAAGCTTAGGCTACTCACTTACATTATTTTAAGGTTACATTACCTTAAATTGCTTCCCACATGTAGAACACAGAAAATCTTTGCGATCTGAGTGTCGAAGCATGTGAAGGCGCAATTTATCAGGACGACAGAAGGCCTTGTCACACTCTGTACATTGGTATATCTTTTCTGAATGGAAGCTGCGCACATGTTTTTTCACCTGGCAGTGAAGACCACAGACAAACTTAGGGGACTGAGGCACCAGAGAAAATGACAAAAGGCAGTTTACCAACACTAGAGGGAGACAATGTATTACCATAGACTTCATCAGCCTGGACTTGTAATACAATTAGATGTCATAATTGTCCTCTATAGCACACACTGTCCCTGTCACAAAGAAACAAAACAAGAGCCAGAGAGCCTTAGAAATCTGAACCTCCCATATGACCTAGAGAGGCAGAAGGAAAAGTGTTGGCTTGGTCAAAGGTCTGATTGCTTGGAGCCCATTTTTTTCTTTTTTTTTAAAAATTAAAAGAGAGTTCCTTTGGCTTTAAAAAATCTTGCTAAAAATTGTCTATGGGAAGACAACAAACAAATCATTCTTTCTTAATTTTTTCCTGCCTCCATATGTACAAGACACAATTAGTCTCTGAGTAATTGGTCCTTTTATATCTTTATATAAAATCAGATACTGAAGAATTAAAGACATGAATTAGATGCTATAGAAAACGCTACCCATTTATGAGAGCAGTACAACATTAGAATTGTTTCTTTTCAATTGGGACTTATTCTCTTTGTTGTTAAAGAACTTAAATATAGAACTATTAACCTCAGGACACCCTTAGCCATAAACCCAATGAAGAAGAGTTGTGCATGAGAGCTGATTCTGAGTCATATCAAGCTAGTTCTATATTTTGCTTAATTATTTTTAGAATCTTTTTTTGCTTTTAGATTCTACCTTAAAGCAAACTTCTTAGTTGTTTGTATGAAGTGAGAAAATTTCCAAGATTCCCAATATTAGCAGAACTCTGATCAAATCCTAGTCTCCTTTTGCTTTGATTAAAAAAAAAAAAAAAATTAAGGATTTTTACTAGCTAATTCATTGCCATGGAGTCGATTTCGACTCATATTGACCCATCCTTAGGGTTCCGAGGCAGTATCACTGCGGAAGTAGATTGCCCAACCTTCCTTCCTAGGAGTAGCTGGTGGGTTTGAACCACCAGACTTCCGGTAAACAGTCAAATGCCTTAGGCATTATTCATTGGCTAGTATGTAATAATATTATGATTTAAGATCCAAATAAGATCATGAATATTCTGGACTTTCTCTTCATCCACTTTGCTTCAGCAAAGAAAACAGTCCTGGGGAGGCAGTCAATGCTTGATATAAAAATATAGTGTATACGAGCTTCCTTTGTTTCCCTCCAAACTACATGACCTTAATAAGGCACCACAGGAAACCACAGTGGTAGGGAGCAGATGTTTCCAACCCAAGAAATGGGTTCCTATAGAGTCAACAAGTCCATTTTATGAGGGATGAATATTGGCAAGAGGTATTTTTACTGTATTAAAATTCAAATCAGGTCTAGGTGCTTATTACTTACTTGTAATATAACTTACATGTTTAAATTTCAAATTTTGATTTGCATAATTCAAGTTCATAATAATCTTTTGTTTATCAAAAATACTTTGAAGAAACATTGTTCTCAACTGTACAGTTATTTCAAAGAAGGGATAATAATGGGGGTGCTATGCAGTGGTCTCAATTTTCCAAGAAACCACAGTTTCTTTTGCCAAAAAAAAAAAAGAAATACACAGCAAGCTCAGTAGCAGTCACTCACCTGGATAAAATCTGGGAAACGTTTTTTACAAGTCGGGCAGGTGAAGTAGCCATCATTGATATGAATGGCCACATGATCTTTCAACAAATCAAGGCGGTCAAAGGATTCCGGACAAAAAATGCAAGAGTAAGTCTTCTGGTCGGAATGGAGCTTCATGTGGCTCTCCAAAGATGTGCTGCTGATGAAGCCCTTGTTACAGAGATCACAGGTCAAAGGGCAGTTCCCCTCCCGCCCATGGAAGCGCAAGTGTTGGTCCAGCTTGTCCTTTTCACGGAAGGCCTTCCCACACTGCAAGCATTTAAAAGGCCGGAAGGATTTCCGAATAAACAGATGCTGAAGAGCTGCATTCTGAAAGACATACACAAATATGATTATGTAGTGAGGAAATGAAAACGTGAACACGGCTCACACAGTTATATATAGAGAGAATGAGCTCTGCAACTACAGACTTTTCCTAGAAATTTAAACTCTAGGACAGACCACAGAAGGAAGACTTTTCTGGTGAAGACTTTAAAATGAAGTGATCCCCAAAGCAGTTCACCTTGAAAAGAAAGGTTTGTTTTCATTTTTTTGTCTGTATGTTTTCTTTTGAAAAGTTTTAGGTAACATTCAAAGAAATGTTCCCAATAGATGATTTGTACCAAAAAAAAGAAAAAAGAAAAAATCCAGAGTGAAGTAGAATAAAGGCTGAAAACTTGGAAGAAAAGCCTTGGGGTGAGTCACATATCCACGACAAGGTTGGAGAAGTGAGCCAAAAAGTTAATCGTTGAAGGCGTTGAAAAAATAAATTTGTAGCTTGATTAAAATGTTGAGCAAAAGAGAATCAAAAGAATAGTAGTAGTTGCTAGGGTTGGGGGATGGAGGGGTAAGAACTGACTGCTAATGGGAGTTCCTTTTGGGCATGATGAAAATGTCCTGACACTAGTGATGATGGCCACACGACTTCTGGAATATACTTAAAAAAAAAAAATGTAATAACACATTTAATGTAAAAGTCTGAATTTTATAACATAAACTATATCTCAATTTAAAAGACAGAACTGAAAGGAAATACAAGATTAGGATTTATGTGAATGTGTCTCTTTATGACACATGATACATAAGCATACATAAACTGGAATATATGCATTAAATAACTTCCAACTTAGAAAATGCAGAGAACAAGGTTCCAATGTAGGTAGGTAGTTAGTTCCACTGGTTAGAATCCCATGCTGACAAAGTTAAGCTTATTGTCTTCTTCCCTGCCTAGATCACTCAATTTCTCTTTTTTTTTTTTCAGCCACAGATTGCATTTCTAATAATAATTAGCCATCCTATAAATTCATGCAACTGTTATAAAGGAATCCAAGTGAGAGGATGCAGATACTCAGTGCAAATCCATCATTCATACTGGAAAAACCACTCATGCTCTACTGAGAGCAGATCAACAGAGATCAGCAGGGCCAGCTTTCACAAAGAGTACACAATCAGCATTTTAGTTATTCCATAGTAAGACTAGTTCATAACTTCCTCAGAGTATCAGAGGGAAAGTTCTAGATAGTTATAAGGGAGAAAAACCCCTCAAAATATATTTCTGTAAATGAATGTGCCTATGAAGCTACAAAAGAACAGTAATTGAAGGGTTAGTAGAATCTTACTGCAATATTTGTGTGGTGGGACAAGTACAATAAGAAATGCTTAGGCCCTTAATTTCAAATTACTCACAAGCAGCAACTACCAAACTAAATTTAATGTAAAATAATCATTTGAAGGAAGAGTAAAATAATTATTTTTGATTTGGTGAGAATGTTGAACTCTATGTCTGTTACTACTATAAAACAGAAACTTCCTTCTCAGAGCTAATCTCACAAAACTAGGGGAGGTGTTTTAAGATAACACCTCCACAAGATTACGAGCAATGAATGTCATCCCAAGCTGACGATGGGGGGCTACGTGGGGGGTGTGCATGATGTTTTATTCTCCTTTGTAACTAAATCATTTAATAAGCTGCTTAGCTCCTAGGACATGTTCAAAAAAAGTTTGAAAATTAATTAAATATTTTTCAATGTACATACCTATCAAGGTCTTTTCTATAGCATCTGCAGAGTTCTTTGGGATAGACTTTTTCAAATCAGTTAGAGTTTCCCTTCACTTCATTATGCTTTTACCAGTCATCTAATCATTTTACTCTATCTGGACACTCATTTTACATAAAAGCTTTCACTATTTTGGCTACTTTCAAAGCTTTATGGAAGCATTGCAATAAAGAAATGCTGTCCTGAGGTTAGGAGATTCAAGATTTAAAGCACTTTTGACATCAAAGGATCATTTCCTTTACCCAAGATAAGTCACGTTTCCAAGGACTGAAAATGCACCAATGATCTTGGTCCCACTGGGATTCCACTTATCCTTGGGTGCCAAATCCAGAACTCAGTTTTGGTCCATTACGCTAATCAGTCTGCTGTCATTTCTGATTAGCCTGAGTGCCCTCAGACACTGATTTAAACTGAATAGCCACCTGGCTCCACTTTCTTAGATCTATTGACAAATCTTATTTTTATCATCTTTTTAATTTCCAGAGCCCTTCACATTGTCTAAGTACTCACAACCTAGATTGTTTCTCTGGTCTACTGATTCTCATATTACAAACTACTGAGCATACTGAAATTGCTCCCATCCCCTGACCGACTTGCAGACCATTTCTACTCTAAGGTTTCTTTGAGGGTCGGAGCCACAGTTGGCGCACCTTTCTAGCAGAAACCATGTAAAATAGTGGAGCCAGCAAAGGTGGAGTTAATAGATCTTCTGGTCTCAGAGTTCCAGTTAGTCCATCACTCCATACTGTAGGGCACATCTGCTACTCCCAGGATGCCAAAAGAGTACAGTTACTAAATCTGTGTTGATGGGATTCATCAACTCATGTTGAAATGAATTCTTAGGAAACATTCTATGCAGACAAAGATCATAAAATATCTGTAAAGTTTGTTATTAATAGCTAAAGGAACCTAAATTATTAACCAGTTTTAATAGAATTTTGATCCTGACACTAGAAGAAAAAGGAAATCAATCATGTTTGTTCGTTTTACAAACCTTTCTGCGGCCTCTTTTCTGCTCAACTTTCAAAGCTCTCAGTGGGCTCGCCTGCCCAATATCTCTCATTCCTCACTTGGCATCCAGACTGTGTGGTAAGCTAGAGTTTTCACTGTTCCGTAATTATACCAGAAGCAGTCTTGTGTCTGGGCCTTCAATACCATGGCTATCCTCCTCTGAAATGTTCCACTTCTACCTCCTTCCCATCCAAGTAAATCCTATCACTCTTTGAAGGACTAGTTTTAAGTAACATTTCATGCATAAATTAACCCTTGACTCCTCCATCTTTCTTTGGCCTTTCACTCTTCCAAGTTCCAATAGCAATTATAGGCTATACCTTATACTTAGCACTTCCTGTAAACTACCTTATATTAGTAATATTTCCCTAATTAGACTGTAAGCACCCAGAGGGCAGAGCTCAAGTGAAAATTCTGTTTTATCCTTTATAGTACTTAGCGTAATGCTGAATCTATAGTTAGAACTTAATACTATTTTGAATTATTTTAGAACTGGAAGGGACCTAGGAGGTCACTTAGTTCTATCCCTTCATTTTGTATATTAGAAAACTGAGGCCCACAATTTATTGATTATTTGCAAATAAGTTATAATTATTCATTAATTAATTTGCATTTACTTTAGCAACCAAACTATGGTTTCCACTAAGATTTAGTAAGTACCGGTTACAAAGAATAGCAGGTCAGTCAAACACTTAAATAATATTCTGTTATGTGTAACACAGTAAACAAACCTACCTGCAGCTCCAACTGAGCAGGCAGCATTAGAGGAGAGAAAAATAGTTACATTACCAATTGGATTAGAAGACTTCCATTTAGTTGGTAATTACTGTTCTGGTTACCTAGTGCCACTCTGACAGGAATATACCACAAATGGGATGGCCTTAACAAATAGGAATGTATTCTCTTACAGTCCAGGAGGCTAGAAGTCTGAGTTCAAAGTGCCAGGCTCTAGGGGCTGGATGAAAGCCCCTTGACCTTGGGATTCAGCTCTGCCTCTTGTTCCAGGCCCAAGGGAATTAGAGGCTTTCCTTCACTCAGGCAGCTACTGGCTGCTGAGGCTAACAAGCCCAAGGTCGACAAAAAAAAAAAAAAAAAGGCACAGTCCTGATGTTACCAAACCACTAAGCAGGCCATTAATTCAGGTCTATTGTAAGTCCCAAGGTCAGCAGAGCATGGCAGGCTGCTGAACAATGACACAGCTACGTGCAGGGTCCATGCCATAAGCTAAAGACTATCCCCAAGGCTTCTCCTTATATATAGGAAGCAGACCACATACCCAAAGGCAGCCACTCAGCTGCTTGTGGTAGATCCCACCATGGAGTTGATTGCTAGTCTCATCATGGGGAATAACTACCACCAGCTGCCCAGCCACTCAACCAGGCCCAGCCAAGTTGACATACAAATTTAACTACCACAGTTCCACCCCTTGTCAACTTGGAACCTGTACAGATCTTCATTGGGTGGCACCTGTACAGATCTCCTTCATTAGGTGGCTCTAATCCCCTAGTTCCTGAGTAGTGATCTCACCCCCTTGGCCTGGTGGGCCCTGTTCCTCTCCCTCTTGGGTATGGAGCCCTGCCCCCTCACTCTTGAGCAGTGGCTATGGCTCCATCCCACTGGCTCATGTGAACGAGCAGCCCCAAACTCCAGAACCAAGTTGGTGAAGGCCTGGCTCTTTGAAACCTAGGGGGCTGTGGTTGTTCCACCCCCAAAGGCCATGGTCCTACCCTTAAGGCTGAGGCAGCTCTGCTTCCCATTTCCTCAGTCTCTCTGCTTCTGCCGACTAATGCCAAAGGCAACCGACTCTACCAGGAAGGTGTCTACCCAATGGCACTCAGCTTTCTCCTCTGTGGGCTGGTAAGCCTGTTGCTGTTTAATGCCGGTTTCTGGGCTCTGCTACTGCCATCTCTCATGCTGGTCTCTCTGCTGGTATCTCTCTGCCAGTCTCTTGGCTCTGCTCCTGCCATCTCTCATGCCACATGCCTGGGTCTCTCTGCCAGGGTCTCGGGTTAAGGACGCACTCCACTCTTGTTTCCACATTTTAGGTATCTGTCAAAGCAGCACCCCACTCTCCTGGTACCATATTCTGTTCTGGTTACCTAGTGCCACTCTGACAAGAATATACCACAAATGGAATGGCCTTAACAAACAGGAGTTTATTCTCTTACAGTTCAGCAAGCTAAAAGTCCAAGTTCAAAGTGCCAGGCTCTAAGGGCTGGGTGAAAGCCCCTCAACCTTGGGATTCAGCTCTGCCTCGTGCTCCTGGCCCACTGGAACTAGAAGTTTTTCTTCACTCAGGCAGCTACTGGTTGCTGAGGCTAACAAGCCCAAGGTCAACAAATAAAATGGCACAGTCCCAATGTTACCAAACCACATGGCAGGCCATTAATTCAAGTCTATTGTAAGTCCCAAGGTCAGCAGAACATGGCAGGCTGCTGAACAATGACACAGCTACATGCAAGGTCTAAGCATGCCATAAGCTACAGTCTATCCCCAAGACTTCTCCTTATTTACAAGAAGCAGACCACATCCCAAAGGCAGCTACTCAGCTGCTTGTGGTAGATCCCACCATGGAGTTGATTGCCAGTCTCATCATGGGGAATAACTACCACCAGCTGCCCAGCCACTCAACCAGGCCCAGCCAAGTTGACATACAAATTTAACTACCACAATTACCAACCTGCATGTAAAAGATTAAAAAATACATAGCCCTACTTTTTAGAACATGTGAGGGAAAAAAATGGCTCAACTAAGACTGATCTCTAAAAGCCATATATACATGGCTTTTGCTTTAATACGAGGAACCATATACTGAATCCATCAAGTAACCTAATTCATTCAAAGAATATAGACTATGCTTGTACATCCACAACTTCACTATATGTTTGGGCTTTAGTTTTTTCCTTCAGAAAAAAAGAAAACTTAAATCTAGTAAGCATTTCTCTGGATTTAACAGAAAATCAGAATGGTCAAAACAGGAAAGACAGTATTTGGATAAGAGGGAGAAATTCAGAGAGGGAAATAAAGTAGAAATAGTGGATGGGAAGGCATTAATGTATAGATTTTTGCTTATCTAGTCTATAATTAGATATGGTTGCATATCCTTTTAAATTAATATATACTGAACCAAAAATTTTGTATCTTTCATTTCCAGGGCCCTTTTTAAAGGCTGTTTACCCTCAGAGTACTTAGAGGCCTTCAAAGCTATCACATGGCTATGAATGTTTTCATGTATTTCTACATGAAGGCAAAGACTAGACTATTTTTCAAGGTCCCTTCTACCCTACAACAAAATAAGACAACCAAAAGAAATATAAACTCCTCTTAAGGCAATTAAGAAGACCAAAAGAATCCACCTAGAAATTGTAATGTCTGGGAAATTATACAAAGATTCATTTTCATCTACACATAAAGTACTAATAAAAGGCCTTACACTCCCAGCTGCCACAAATAGGAATATTACACAATTGTTCTCAGGATATGAGCTGCCAGCAAAGGCAATTATTGAACAAAACCATATCGTTTTCCACACAAATTCCGTGCCGTTCCTAACCCACACTCACATTCTGTCAATACAGTAATAAAAGAAAAACACATCTGAACTGGAAGTCATAGAAGCCATTCAAATGCATGGTCTAACCCAGGACACAGGTCAGATGAGTGAGACATTGATCTAGCTCCTGACCTGAGAGCCACCTTCAAGATATCCTTGGAAAGGAGGGTAAGAATGGTTGTACAATTTGAAGAATGTAATCAATGTTACATGTAGAAATTGCTGAACTTGTGTATGTCCTGCTGTGCATATTTGCAACAACAAAATAAATTAAAATATATATATATATATATATGGAAGATCTGGTGGTGTAGTGCCTAAAGCATTTGACTGCTAACCAGAAGGCTGGCGGTTCAAACCCACCAGCCACTCCTCAGAAGGAAGGTTGAGCAATCTACTTCCGTAGAGATACTGCCTCAGAAACCCAAGGAGGGGTCGCTATGAGTCGGAGCCAACTCGACAGCAGTGATTTTGGTTTGGTTTTGGTATCTGCCTAGATGTGTAGGTTGTATGTGCCATGTTAACTGGAATACATGATCCCTTTACATTGATGAATAATGTCATTTTCCAGTCTCCCTTTGGAAACCAAAGATAACCAAATTCAGTTACAAATTCAAAATGAACTTTTAAGCCATGAAATTATTGGCATGGGTTAGCCTGGCTTAAAATGAAAATAATTACTATAATTAAATGTACTTATTTATCCATTTCCAATCTCTGAGTTTAGGGATGCAAAAAGCTATTCTACTTCAACTATACTAGTTCAGGAGCTGCCAAAAGTACAGGCTTTACTGTCACTATTAAAGTGATAGAATCTAGGACCAGTCATTCCAGCCTGCCACAGAATACAAAAGTATTGAGAACTCATCAATATTTTCTTCCAAAATAAGGGGATTGAACTTGTAATGGGGCAGATGCAAGATTTCAAAGTGGACTGTGAATAGGTTGGAAATCAATCAGCTAAAAAGCTCGTTGAGAGCAAGGATCACCCATGACAAGAAGGAAACCTTGCTTTCCCTACTTACTCGGATACGTTTGGCTCTACGCATATCATCTGCTGTCAGAGAGCTGTGGGTGGGCACTACACTCTCTTCATGCTGTGGCTGCAGGTGCAGGGTGTGTGTTTCGGGTTCATGTTCCAAAGATTCCTGGGTTTCCTGTGGCAGCTGAGGGACTGGGATAGCGGTCTGTTCTGGTTGATCCAACCCATTCAGTGCAGCTGGTTCACTCTCATCAAACTGCTCCTTGCTGGAAAAATGTAGCAAGTCCTGAAATTGCAAATCATATGACCAGTAATTAATTCCCTGCCTATGCACTGATTAGTTCTAGAAGAATTGTGAGATAAGTTTTAGAATTGTTGTTTATTTTTAAATGACTGTATTCATAATGCTCAGAAAAAAATATTCTTCCTCCAGAAAAGTTTAGTAGGTAAATATGCATAGAATCCAAAGCCTCTGACATATTCTGAACTACTTCATGAGAAAAAGACTGTGATGTGACTCTTCTGGAAATATTATAATAATTTTTAATTGTTTAATGAAATATAAAGTCCCCCTCTAATATTTCCAATCAATTTCAAATCTTGAGTACAATAAAGCCAGGTTTTTGTCATAAATAACATGGAAAATATGTTTTTTTCTGGTCTTTCTCTAATTATATTTCAAAGAGTCCTGGTGGTGGAATGGTTAAACTGCTCAGCTGCTAACCAAAAGACCAGCAGTATGAACCTACCAGCCATTCCACAGAAGAAATAAATGGCAGTTTGCTTCCATAAAGATTACAGCCTTGAAAACCCCACGGGACAGTTATATAGGGTCACTATATGTCAGAACAGGAGCTCTGGTAGCATAGTGCCTAAGGCACTTGACTGCTAACCAGAAGGCTGGCGGTTCAAACCCACCAGCCACTCCTCAGAAGGAAGGTTGGGCATTCCTACTTCTGTAGTGATACTGCCTCGGAAACCCAAGGAGGGGTCGCTATGAGTCGGGGCCGACTCGATGGCAAATAACAACAATAACAACAATATGTCAGAACTGACTTAATGACAATGGGAATCACACTTTAATTGACAGCTCTCAACACACCAAAATGACGGGACTATGAAGAGCTCAGGCATTTGTATTTAAGTATGGTAAAATCCTGGTATATCTTCTCAGCAAGCATGTGAGAAGTGTTCTTCCCCATGCACCCAAGTACCTGTGTCCCATCATCACATTTTTCTCCATTTTCACTCGTTATTTCCAAGCGGATAAATTTTGGAGGGCGCCCTGGCCGTCGACCTGGGCCAAATCGCCTCTTGGCTCGTCCCCTTCCTCTGCCTCTTGTTCTGGGGTCAAGAGATTGGGTTGCAAACAGTCAGTTTTCACATTATTTCCATGTAACACTCTATAACAAATATTACTCTAAATGATCCTGACTAACCCCAGATCTTGATTTCCTCTGACTTACTACTACTCCTGATTATTTTCTCTAATGGAAACAACTGTTTTGCTAATATGTATTTTTGAAATTTCTCACCATTGTCCCTATATTGCTCAAAAAGATGTCTTAAATTATTCAGAAGAAAAAAGCTATAAAAAATCAAAGCACTGACAATTATGTTACTACTGAAAATTCCAAAAGCACAAACATATCTCTGAAATGATGTGAGAAATGCTAACAAGACAGAATATGTTATGTAGTAAAGTATGTTCCTAGGAGATGTCTTCTTAGATAAGATTCAGTTTTGTTTTTTTTCCCCCTCTTTTTCCCTTGTCTCACACATCATATTCCATCCAGGAAATGTGATTACATTCAAAAGCTTGTTTTACTATAAGCTTCTGGAGGGTCAGAACAAATTTCTAATTCAACCACTCCATAATATGCCTGTGGTTGTTAGGTGCTGTCGTGTCAGCTCTGACTCACTGTAACTCTATGTACAAAGGAACAAAACACTGACCAGTCCTATGCCATCCTCACAATCCTTACTGTTTGAGCCCATCATGGCAGCCACTATATTAATCCATCTTAGTAAGGGTCCTCCCCTTTTTTGCTGACCCTCTATTTTACCAAACACGATATCAGTCTCCAGGGAGTAGCCCCTCTGACACTATGTCCAAAGAAGGTAAGATAAAGTCTGGCCATTCTTGCTTCCAAGGAGTACTTCTTCCAGGACAGATCTATTCATTCTTCTGGCAGTCCATGGTATTGTCAGTCTTCTTTACCAACACCACAATTCAAAGGCATCTTCCTTATTCACTGTCTAGCTTTCACATGCATATGAGGCTACTGAAAATACTATGGCTTGGGTTAAGTGTCCCTTAGTCTTCAAAGTGGCATCTTTGCTTTTTAACACTTAAAGAGGTCCCTTACTGCAGATGTGTGCAGTGCAATATGACATCTGATTTCTTGACTGCTACTCCCATGGGTGCTGATTGTGGATCCAAGTAAATGAAATCCCTGACAACTTCAATATTTTCTCCATTTATCGTGATGTTGATTATTGGTCCAGTTTTGAGAATTTTCACTTTCTTTATGTTGAGGTGTCATCCATACTGAAGACTGCAGTCTTTGATTCTCATCAGTAAGTACTTAAAGTCACCATCACTTTCAGCAAGCAAGGTTGCATCATCTGCATATTGCAAGTTGTCAATGAATCTTCCTCTAATTCTGATGCCACATTCCTCTTCATACAGTCCAGCTTCTCAGATTATTTGCTCAGCATACGCAGACTGAATAAATATGGTGAAAGGATACAACCTTGACATAACACCCTTCCTAACATGCCTGATAAGCATTAAGTATATTTTACCTCCTTCAGCAGATCTTTTAACATACAAAAATCTCTTAATAAAGGGAAAGGATGTCATGAAAACTACTTTTAGAACTGTGTGTGTGTGTGTGTGTGTATAAAATTAAGCTGATCGTACCCTATTATTCCAATCACTCATTTATCAATTTAAGAAAAATGATACATTTATTTTAAGACTTCTAAAACATTCTTTTATTATGGAAAAATTCTAAATCTAAGCAAATGCAGAGAATAGCATAATGAGGCCAATGTACTTATTACCCCACCTCAACATCTATCAACTCACAGCCAGTATCATTCCATTTCTATCTCCTATGCTTTTCCACACACATATCTATTATTTTGAAGCAAATTAAAGGTACCATTCCATTGCTAAATATATCAGTATGTATCTCTAAAACACAAGAACTCTTGTTTTAATATAACCTAAATATCATGATTACACCAAAAGAAAAATATAGTTACTCAGTATTATTAAATCTAGTCAAAGTTCAAGTTTTCCTGTCTCAAATTTCTTTTAACAATTGTGTAACAAACATTTTATCTACTGCTTGTCATGCCCTCAGTTGGGCACTAAAAATACTAAGTTAAATAAAACAGATTCTGTCCTCACAGGTTTAGTAGAAGTGGTAGACATATAAACCAAAAATCACATTTTAGTCTTAGGAACACACAGCAGGCAGTAAATAACTTATTTTTTCCTTCAATTCACTTCAGACATTTACTTGCTTGGTCATGTCATAAACCCTGCCATCACCATATACGAAGAAACTTTCTTATCCCAGTTCCATGCAACTCTGCCCTTCTGACTCTATCGCCTAACTTTCCAGCTCACTTTCTCTGGTACCCTAACTTATCAATCCTTTAACCTCACTAGCTTCTCCATCCAATTATTCTGTCACCTACTCACATTCCCATACCCTCTTGATGTTTTTTCTCTTCTTCCACAGCTTAAACTCCAGAGTTAATCACAATAATCACTTCCTTGTATGTGCCCTCGATTCCTATTCCCACTGTTGCTTTATTATTTGAGCTCTGTTGTATGTGCTTGGCAAAACTGCAACCCTACTTAATCTAATGTTCTACTCATTCAGCATTCTTGCAGCTGAATGTCGCTAGAAAACCACATTCAGCCAACCTAATGGTCTCACTTCAATTTCATGACCATGTACCTCATGTGGGCTCTTCATTCTGTGGGTGATCACACTGTACTTCCCTGGTCCATTCAATTTCATGCTTTCCAAAATGCCATTACACATTGTCTCCTCTCTTCTCAAATCCAAAAAGTCAACAACCTTGTATCTGACCCATTAGTAATACCCTGTTCTAAATGACCCTCATTCCTCCTCTGGACTGTTGCAATAACTTCCAACTGGTATCCCTGATTTCACTTTTGCTCCAAAAGAAGCTAAAATAATGTTTTCTTTTTTATCCAGAGTGATCTTCTAAAAATATAATTAACAGTGCTTTCTCAAGTAACTAAAAATAGAACTACTATATGACCCAACAATTCCGCTCCTAGGTATATATACCCAAAAGACTTGAAAGCAGAGACTCAAACTGATATTTGTACACCAATATTCATTACAGTACTATTCATAATAGCCGAAAGATGGAAAAACCTAAATTCCCATCAACAGATAATTGGATAAACAAAATGTAAAGTATACATACAATGGACTACTTACTATTCAGCCAATAAGAAAAGTGAAGTTCTGATACATGCTACAATGTGGATGGAGCTTGAAGATATTACGCTGAGTGAAATAAGGCAATTACAAAAGGACAAATATTTTATGACTTCATTTATATAAAAAACCAAGAATAGGCAAATGTATAGAGACCAAACTTTCTCAGAGGTTATCAAGCACTGGAGAAAGAAGGAAGGGGAGCTTATTGCTTATGGAGTACTGAGTTTTGGTTTTCAGTGATGGAAAAATTACATTGATTAAGGGTAGGGTTGTACAGCCAATTAATGTCATTGTTGTCAATAAGTTTCACACCTGTAAAAAGTTCAATTGGCATAAATTGTGTGATAGATATATTTACAAAAATGACAAAAAAATAAGAGTAGCTGCTTATGTATGACCAAACACCTCAAGGAATTTGGTCCTTGGTTTAGGGTCATGGTTTCATGGGACATCCCAGTTAACTGGTCTAATGTCATGTTTAATATTTCTGTTCTACCTCCTACTTCATTGTGCAGTGTCTGGGGTCTTAAAAGCACCCATTGGACATAAACAATTGGTCTCCATTAGCCTGAAGAAACAGAGGAAGAAAGGAGCCAAGGATATGAGGAAACGAAATGTGGGGCTAATTGAACAACTGCCTCCTTTGCCATGAGACCACAAGTTGATGGTGCCCTGCTATGACTACTGAACATTTTGATCAACAATCTATAGAAACATTCTGATCAAAAGGGGAAAATGCAGAGCATAATTTCAAAATCATATAGAATCCAGATTTTCTAGAGCCATACAGGCAAAAATGAACCTCTGAAACTACTGCCCTAAGAGAATCTCTTTTATCTTTTTTTTTGTTGTTGTTTATATCATCACACCACTTTTAAAATGTATACTTTATTGCATTTTAGGGAAAAGCAAATTGGGTTCCCACTTAACAAATTGTCCCATGACATTGGTTACACATTTCATAATGTGTCAGCATTCTCATTATTTCTATTCTGTTTGCTCTGTTTCCATTGATCTAGCTTCTTTTCTCTTCTTGCCTTCTCTGCTTTCAGGTAAATGTTGACCATTTTGTCTCATATAGTTGGTTGTTTAAAGGAGCATATTACTCACAGGAGATACTGTTTATTTAATAAGCCAATCTCTTATTAGTCAAGGAGCTCTGGTAGCACAGTGCCTAAAAAGGTTGGTGGTTCAAACCCACCAGCCACTCTGCAGAAGCAAGACTGGGCAATCTAGTTCTGTAAAGATTTACTGCCTCAGGAACCCAATGGGGGTCGCTAAGAGTGGGAATCGACTCAACAGCAGAGGGTTTGGCTTTGGTTTTGGTATTACTAGTCAGAAAGGTGACCTGCAGGAGTTGTTTCAGTGCTAAGTTCCAAGGGTATGTTAAAGTGATAGTCTTGGGGGTTCCTCTAATTTCTGTCAGTATACAAGGTCTGGGCTTTTTTTAGGAATTTGAATTTTGTTCTACTTTTTTCTCCCATTCTAACCAGGTCTTTCTATTGGATCATTGGTCACAATGGTGGGAACCTAAGATAATCTTTAAACCTTAAACCAAAAATATTACCTGAAATTGTACAAGTTTAACTACTAAAAAATGTATGACTTGAACACTGTACTCTTTCAAGATTGATCTTTATGGACCAAATTGATAATAGCAACTTAAAAGATTAGATAGGAACCTTAGGGGGCAGTGAATCTACGTTAATGGGGGAAGAACAATTCAGAAAAGGAGGGTGACAATGGTTGCACAACTCAAAGAACATAATCAATGTCACTGAAGTGTACGTGCAGAAATTGGGGAATTGGTGTATGCTGCTATGTATCATTCTCAACAACGAAAATAAAATAAATTCCTTTTATAAAAACACATAATTGACCTCACAATATTCCCAGATCAGAATCTCTCATGCCTCCCATTACCTCTAGAATAAAATCCAAATTTCTTACCAATATCTATAAGGCTCTACCTGATCTGGCCCCTGCCTACCCTATCCTATGTGATCCTTCTTTCATCTATCTTTTTTATATATTAGAATTAAACATAAGATTGCACTTGGAAAAGGAATACTACTGATAAAAACCTTGAAAATCACAGATACAGATTATTTTGAAGGTATATGCTATCTCAAGAATCCCTATTTCAGAATCTCTAGTTAAGAGAGCCTTAACTAAATTGAACAGATCTCCTGCTGCTGGATATTGGTTATGCTAGAAATGAGACAAATAGTAAGCAAAGAGCATTGGGAGTAAGGGGAGGAAATAACAGATAAAATAGTTACCTCATCAACCCACCTGGTTACCTCTCTACACGCGCATAGACACACACAATCAGAAACACTTATTTGTTTATAAACAATGGTTTATGGACCTTTGAAAACTGAGCTTGGAAACCCATTCCTCTCATTTATACCTGCTAAACACATCCAGTTTCTCATCATGCGAATTGAGGTGCTGTTGCAACTGCTCCGAGCTTATAAACCGGCGGTTACATTCATAGCAGGGCCAATTTTTCTCTTGCTCTCGAAGAACTGCCCTCACAGGAAAAAAAGTCATAAAGGCTGGTGATCAATAGACATCAATGAATCCCCAATGTTCACTGTCCTCACCATTCCCATCCAGCTGTAACCCAAAGAGTCCATTACACTGAAAAAACATACAGTGGAGGCTATTTTCATTGTTTTGTCATGAAATCAAAGGCTTAAGTTTGAAAGAGAGTTGTTTTTTAAGATCTTTTTTCTGACACATTCATGCAAGATACCAGAGGAAAAAATATCCTCACACTACCCCACAATACATACACACACACACATACACAAACACACACACATCCTCATCAAACTGGAAAGACAAAAGGTGTTACAATGGAAATCTGTATCCAGATAGCCTAGTGGTTCTGACCCAAGTTTCATCATTTGAGGGTATATTACAAAAAATTTAAAAAGTCAGTGCCCAATATCATCACTTAAGCAAAATGCTCAGAAGTATCTACTAAAGCTGAGTAAATACTCTTACATACATACATACATGCATACATACATACTCAATGCCCTAGCAATTCCACTTCTAGATGTACAGCCAGCAGAAATGCATCCATATATTCACTAAAAGATATGGTTAGGAATGTTCATAGTGGTGTTCTCCATAACAGCCAAAAACTGGAAACAATTCAAATTACCATCTATAATAAAATAGATAATAAAGTGTGCTACGTTCATGAAATGCAATACCTAACAGCAATGAGAATTAAAAAAATGTTATGTACAACAATACAGGTGAATCTTACAAACAAAATGTTGAACAAAAGATGCTACATACAAAAAGTGTGTAACACATAATTCCATTTATGTAAAGTTCATTAGCAAGCATACTATATCTGTATATTAGAAGGCAGGAGGTTGGTTACCACAGGGCTGCGCAGAAACAAGAAGAGGACACAAGGGAACGTGTACGGTATTGGTAAGATTCTGCTTCATGATCTGGGCGCAGGTTATACAAAAGTTGTTGCTTGCTGAAAATTCATCAAGCTATATAATATTTATGTATATCATAAATGCTTTACATTTATGATCTGCACACATTTCTGTATGTAGGTTATGCTTCAATAATAATTACATTTAAAACAAGTCAACACCCCCCTTAATTAAGTTTAAATTGGGATCACTCTCTGATCTAGGTCTAATTTAATATTTGTAGGATTTCATTACATTAAATACTATTGTCCAGTACCCACAAAAGAAATGTAAATATGTCATTGTAATTTGATTCTAAAATAATATGTGTAGCTCTGACGATCCAACTGAAATATCTTTTAAAATAAATGGAGATAGAAAAATTAGAGATTACATAAAGACACAATATGTATAGTTTAGAATTCATATAAAAAATGTAAAATACAAAAAGTCCAATTACCTTTCCTTTCTTCTTCAGAAATGTCATGAATTTTCTGGTTCACAAACTCAGCATAGGATGCAGCATACCACACCTGCAAGAACCAGTACATCATCAAGAACTAAGAGCCATTACCAGATGTTCTTTACATGCTTAAATTATTTCTCCTCCTTATTTAGTTAGTTTTTTAAAAAGAGTCTGAATTACTTTACAAATTGCTGCTGTAGTTATGTGCCATCGAGTCGGACCTGACTCATAGTGACCCCTCCTCCTTGGATTTCCGAGGAAGTATCACTACGGAAGCAGATTGCCCAACCTTCCTTCTGAGGAGTGGCTGGTGGGTTTGAAGTGCCAGCCTTCTGGTTAGCATTCAAATGCTTTAGGCACTACACCACCAGAGCTCCTATAATATTCTATGGAGTGCCATAATTTACTTATTAACTCTGCCCCTGCTATTGATGGTTAGATGGCTCATCATTTTGCTGTTATAAATGCAACCCTATTTTACCAATTTGAAGATGCATACTTTTTCATATTTTAACATTTCTGGAATTGGAATGTGCCTTAAAACCAATGGTATTCTACAACAGCTCTCATGCTGTAGCTGTCACTGCTTGCTCATTGCTCCCCTATAAACTTGGTCAAGCGATTTGTACTGTTCTCACTTCATTCAGTTACGTGCACCACTGACACCCAATGAGTTCTTTGTTTTTTTTTTAATTGTGATTTGGGTGAAGATTTACAGAGCAAATTCACTTTCCATACAGCAGTTCACATATACTTTGTCTCATGTCATTGACCACAGTTTACC